AAAAAATCCAAAAACAAAAAGTATGTGGGTCAGATTTATGTTGGACAACAACAAAAATTTTCCTAACTACAATAATCAAGTCTACATCCTTTCACATCTAATTCTAATAAAGTACAGTGTTTCTCAGCCTTAGCAACTTTAAGATTTGAACTTCAACTACTATGATTCCACAGTCAGCATGGCTGGTTGAGGAACTCTTAAGAGTTGAAGTCCACCCATCTTAAAAGTTGTTGAGATGGAAAAATGCTGATCTAGAGCAGTGTTTCTCAACCTTGGCAAGTTTCAGACATGTGGACTTCAACTCCCAGAATTCCCCCAGCCAGTTCCCCCAATTCTTGACTGCAAGCTGTAGATTTTAGAGACAAAAGCCCTTGTGTTCAATGGTTAACATTTTCAGCTAATGTGAGGAAGACTTTAAAATAATTTTTAGTTTTGTTAATGGGGTTTTTTTTGTAAATTTTATTTGAGTTTTCACAAAGAGAAAAAAAAATACAGATAAAACATCTTTTTTGAAAGTAGCGTAATCCCGGGTAACATTTCTTCGTACAGACACAAATTCAGGTTCATGCTCATTTTTATATTCTATTCCATATCTTATTACTATTTTACATTTTCTGCATAGCTTCTCCCCTCTTTTAATTTTCTCAATTTTATTTTAATTATCTCATCTCAATTCAAATCATTGTATTTATATTTTTTGTCTGTCCTGTTTCAATTATCTATTATCTTTTCTCATTAAACAAAATTTCTCCTGTAATTACTGATTGGAGCATGACGCCTTTATATCTTTTAAGTTTATCCATTTAACTCTTATTTAGGCTTCAATATATACCCTAAAGTTATAACATTCAATATAATACATAACTTCCATTCGGATTCTGCTTGGTACATTCTTAAAATACATACTATATTCTTAAAAGTAAAAATTATAAATGTATGTAATTAAAACAACACATTCCATTCCAATTCAATTCTATCATTATTGTTAATATTCATTAAAGTCTTAACTTCTTTAACATTACTTTTCAATTAAATATCATACTTCTATGGGAACAATTATAAGCTTTCCATAATTAATTCCCCCCTCTTTACTTATATTTTATAAAACATTAACTAATTAAAATGTTCCCGTTCCTTCCTAATTCAATTTTCTCATTTATTTTATTTCACTTATTTTATTAACAAACATTTCACTAAATTACACTAACTATTTTATCCCTCATTTTAATCATACATTGTTTCCAATTTTCTAAAGTTATTTCTATTACTAATATAACAATACAATCTTATGTACCTTTACAGAATCCCTTTTTCAGTTAGATTTTCACCCATTATCTCTAAATAGGTCCTGTTTCTCTATATCTTGCTCCGGTCCTTTGTAACTTCTTTTCCTTTCTTTCTTCCCTCTCTTCTTCTCTCTCCCCTTTTTACCCCCTTGTCTCTCTACTTCTATTTCTCTCTTCTGTATTCCCCTTTTCTGTTGCTTTCCAGTATTATACTTATTTTTCGAATTATTTTTCTTTTCTTTGGTTGTTTTTTTAAGTCTTAAATTCTCCATTCTCTTTTCCCCCTTTCCCTTTTCTTCCCCACATAGAATTACTTGTTCATTAAAGATGGCTTCTTCTTTGTCCCAGTCTTCTTGTTTTGCAGACGTTTCTTGTTGTTTCTCATAGTTCCAAATCTCCATTTCTAAGAATTGAAAAGCAAAGCCAAAAGAACCCTTCCCTTCTTGTGCATCTTCTTTGTACTTTTTAAGTTCCATTTTCAATTCATCCAAAAGTGGTGCCATTGTATAAATTTTTAAACAACCACCCGATTAATTTTAGTCATTTAAACGTAATAACCAAGAATCCAAAGATCACCAAATAATCCAAATACATGCAAGCTGTTTCTTTTTGCTCTTTTTTTTCATTTTCTCTTCCTGGGGTTACTGTTTAGTTACAAAGTTTCAGTTAAAATGTATCCTTTAGAAGTCTTGTTGAAGTTTTACTGTAGATTCTTTTTAATTCCAGGCGGTCTCCTCCCTCTTCCAGATCCTGCCCTTATTCTTTTTCTCTCCCTTCCTGCTTATGAAAAAAAAAAATTATTGTCCAGAAATCTTCATTATCCCTTTGGCATTTTGTTTTATTTTCAGCTTAATTGCCTATTGATGTCAAAGCGGATTTTTCCGATTTCTTATTTAAGTCTCTTAGTTGACAGTATAGGGAAGGAGCGAGAAGGGGAAAAAAGCCAAACTTTTCCTTTTTCACTTTTCTTCGCTGCTTCTGACTCTTCTTTGGGAGCGATGTTATTTTTTGTAAGTTTAAATTCCAGGGTACCTTAGTTGTTGCTTTTACAATTTAACCCAGTCAGCCAAAACTTTCACTTCTTATCTTCCTCCTGCACATTCTTTTCCGGTCGAGTTCTTCTTTGTGGTGGCCATTTCTGACCACCGCTGCAACCGCCTTCGGGAAAGGGAGTAATGGCCAGCTGAGGAGGAGAAATGTGGCTCTCCTCAACCCTGCTGGCAGTCTCCCCCCTCTTCACCACCTCTACAGGGTGGCTTAGCCCCGAAACCAGCAGGCTCGGGGTGCTCCAGCGGTGAGCCCAGACCGAAACTGCGCACGATCGCGGATTTCTGTCTGTTGACGAAGAGACTTCAATCCGGAAGCCCTTTTGTTAATGTTTTTAAGAAACATAGTAAAAATTAATAAAACCAAATTAAAAGAAAAAGACAACAGAAAAGACAACAGAAGACAGTAATACAGAAGTGGCTTCCAACTTGCCTCACGCAAACATAAACTAATATGCTAACGTTTCACCTTTCTTTTAAAATTACAAATAAAAAAACATTTTCTTCCCATAGCCTTTTATCCAGAAATCATAATCTTTTCAATCCTGCTTCAGGAAAACATACATTAGGAGTTAACAGAAAGATCGAACAAATGGAGGAGAATATGTATAGCTCAGTGTCGAACTGTTGATGCTTTCTGAGCTTGGTTGTTTTCTTACAGGCATTTCATTACCCAACAAGGTAACATCTTTGGGGCTAGAAGGGAATGGGATTTACTCTCTTGTTGCCTTGTTAGTATTACCGGGGGTGATTTTTTTTTATTCTTTGATTATGTTGTTATTTAAACTATTATGTTATTATTTAAACTGAAAATATTACTTAGCTGGGTAATGAAATGTCTGCAAGAAAACAACCAAGCTCAGAGAGCAGCAAGGATTCCACAAATAAGAATAATTTATCCTGAATCAAACAATCCAATTTTAATGTAATTCCTTCTTTTTGCAGAATCTTGACCTTTAAATCCTTCCTATGGCATTGCAGGATTTGATCTTTCATCACTCTTTGGTATTTAAAATAAGTCTTCCAAGACTTTTCAAAACTACCAGCCTACTTTGTAAACCACATAAGGAGACAATATCCAGGTTTCTTGCCAAAGCTGTTCCAAATCCAGATCCTTTTCTTGATTTTTCTTTTGCATTTCCATTTTGGTAATTTCAATTTTTGTGGTCTTCCATGTCTCCAAACTCTATAATATTTAGGTCAGGTCAATGTTTTTTAAAAAAATGTTCTTAGCATCTTGTAAAAGTGTATTCATTGAAATCTATATTCTTTCTGAGATATTAATATCTCTCAATATTATTAATATTTTAGAACAAGTTAAAAAACATTATTTCAATCTTTCTTTTTCCCCCCTGCCTTTTGCCAATTGTATATTATTTTAAATTTTTGAGACTCTATTTAAAATTTCGTAAGAATATAAAACTCACCTGGTGCCAGTTTAAGCTTGCTGTTTTGAAAGTCTCTAATATTCATAAAATGATTAAACTGAACATTTCCAACGGTGATTAGAAAGTGTGTTCATCACGAAAGGCTCTGCTCCTGCTGTCCCTTGATGCTGTGCCTTGGCACTCAAACCAGTGAGAGACCTCTGTTTTATACTCTCATAAAGAGTTGCGAATCAAAGCAGTTGTGGGTAATCTCTTGATTTCTCTTTCTCTGGAGAAATTCGAAGAACTGGTTTAACTTGGCAGTCTTTCATTCTACATAGCGGTTGCCATCTCTGCCCATTTGCAGAGACATCATCAATGCACCATGACTCACACCAGAGTCCTGTGGGAAAGCATCTTTCAAAAAAGATGCTGCCTGCCTATACATGCTTGTAATGGATGTGTGGATGACCTTGGGAAGGAGGGAAAAAGAAGTTACTTAGGGAATAAACTAATAAGGGAGGGAGGAGCCCTCCTTTGCTTAACAGTCAGAGGAAGAAACTTAGGAAAGACCACCATAATGGATTGCACACTTAAAAGTGGTGGTGAGAAGTTTGCATCTTAGATTTGAAAGATTCTGTTAATGTAGCCTTACAAAATTGTAGAATTAGCTCATCGAGTCATGTTTCCAATAAATAGGACAGTGTGTATGAGGTAGAAGTCAGCAGAATCTAAAACAAATCAAACATACAGAAAGTCCTGGTCTTACAACCATTCATTTAATGACCATTCAAATTTACAATGGCACTGAAAAAGTGACTTATTTCTCACACTTATGGCCATCATAGCATCCTCCTAATCAAAACGTGGGCACTTGGCAACTAGCATGTGTTTATGACAGTTGCAGTTTCCCAGGGTCACATGATCCCCTTTTGCAACCTTCTGACAAGTAGAGTAAATAGGGAAGCCAGAATCACGTAACAACTGTGTTGCTAACTTAACAACTGCAGTGATTCATTTAACAACTGTAGCCAGAAAGGTCATAAAATGGGACACAAGTCACTTAACAACTGTCTTGCTTGTGACAGAAATTTTGGGCTCAATGGTGATCATAAGCCAAAAACTACTCATATAGTTCTCTCAAAATGCATTGCCTGCAGCCCTCATAGTCTTTCCTAGGTGGGTTTGTCCTTACAGAAGTTGAAGAATGACATTTAAAGGACGCTTGGTTGCCCAGATCAGATGCAGATAACAGAGAGCCAGTTATATGAAGAACCAAAATAACACCATCATACCTGAATATGAATCTCCATCTTACTTTCAGGAGGATTGGCAGCCTTGATGTACACAGACACAGTCCAGACTTTTGTCATGGTTGGAGGTGCTTTCATCCTAATGGGTTTTGGTGAGTAAGATGCTGACTGGATACAAAAACTGAGTTCCTTCTATCATCTCAAACTGCAAGAACAGGTTCTAGTAGCCTCACACACAGGAAAGCACAATGGAAGTAGATACAGGTAGTCCTCGACTTACAACCAGTTGCCTAGTCTCTGCTCAAAGAAGAACGGGTCAAGCTATTCTCCAAAGGATCTGAAGGCAGAACAAGAAGCAACGGATGGAAACTAATCAAGGAGAACAGCAAGCTAGAACTAAGGAGAAATTTCCTGAGAATTAGAACAATTAATTACTAATTCTCTATAGGAGGAGTTCACGTTACATTATATCAGCCATTTATAACGTTCTGTCATTTTTATAAAACGTGATGCTCTGAAACTTTTGTCACTACAGGAATGGTGGGAATCCTCATAAAACAACCCCCAATTTTTAAGGACAAAAAAAAAATATGAATGCCATTTCCACAGATTCACCTTTCTTTTGTGTATTTTTTTTAAAAAGAGGCCTGATTTGAACCAGAGATAAATTGGATCAATAAATTTTTCACAGCTTACCCTTATTTACTAAAATCCTTGTAATGAACATGTTATATATTTACATACTTACCTATGATAGGTTGGTCCGTGGTGGCGGGAGATTTGAAGAGCCGTCATTAGCCACGAGCCGCGAGCAGCCAGCTATAAAAAAGGCTGCCGCAGTTTCTCCGCATGCGATTACTAGAAAGAAAATAAAAAGGAAAAAGTCAACTGGGTCTCGAGTCTCTTTTCCCACAACGCAGCAGAACATAATTATATAAGTCTTTTGATTTTGCACATGTAATACCATTCTGCCATTTTTGCAATTACACATTCTTTAGTTAAATTATTCAGGTTCAACTGATCCTTTCGATCTAAAACAAAAGTTAACTTTTCAAAAACAATAACAATTGGGTTTGCAATTTCATTGCACAGTCAGAGGGAGGGAAGAAATCTCCAATTTGGGAAACAGGAAGTGTAATGTAACATGCAAACATCTGAATAAAAATGCTATTTCAGTTCCAGCATGACCATGACTCTTCCCATACAGCCTTCAATGAAATCGGAGGTTATCAAGGATTATTTGACAAATATATGGAGGCAATTCCCAAGCAGACACTGTCACCCATCCCTGCCCTCTACAACATCTCGTCTTCCTGCTACCTGCCCCGTGAAGACTCCTTCCACATGATCAGAGATGCCACCACTAGCGATCTGCCCTGGCCAGCTGTCATCCTCGGTCTTTCCATCAACTCTATCTGGTATTGGTGCAGTGACCAGGTACAGAATGATTTCTAGGGAAGGGTAAGGGGAATAAAAATAGTATGTTACTTTCTGAGGAATCACAACCCTTTAGTCTGAATTAAACTCACACTTCCTTGCTTACAATGCAACAGAGCTGCCTAGAAGCATCACACTACCTACATATGATAGTAAATCCTGCTATTATGCCTAAGAAGGTTGAAGTTTTCCTAAAGCTTTCAATTGGAAGTAATTAATCAATCAGAATAGAGCTGGAATTGACCTTCAAGATCTTCTATTCCAAACCCCCCTGCTCAACAGGAGATCCTATACTGTGGTGGGATTCAATTTTTTTTACTACCGGTTCTGTGGGCGTGGCTTGGTGGGCGTGGCAGGGGAAGGATACTGTAAAATCTCCAGTCAGAGTGAATTTGCCGGTTCTCCGAACTACTCAAAATTTCCACTACCAGTTCTCCAGAACTGGTCAGAACCTGCTGAATACCACCTCTGATCCTATACCATTTCAGACAAGTGACTGTTCAGTCTCTTTTTTAAAAATCTCCAGTGATGAAGCACCCACAACTTCTGAAGGCAAGTTGTTTCACTGGTTAATTGTTCCAACTGTTAGGAAGTTTCTCCTTAATTCCAGGTTATGCATAACCTTTGATTATGCCCCGATTGTTTGTTGGTGTGGAAGGAAAATTACTTACATTTAAGGCCAAATCTCTATTAAGTTGAATTCAACTTCTAACTTTATATCCATCTTGCTAATAGTACAGAGCCTCTGCTTCTTTCAGATTTACTTATTTTTGCTTTTCTAATGTACAAAATTTCATGGTGGATTCTCATCGAAGCATTACCCAAATACAACCATGTGTAGCTTTTTCAAGCTCAGCCATACTTAGCTGGGTACTCTGACTTGTAGTGAGACTCACCTTTAGAAACATCCATATCTTGAATTCTACATATCCTTAAACTTTATTTATATATAGTTGTCCTCAACTCACAACCATAATTTGACCTGCATTATCGTAAGTTGTGCTGGTCTTTAAATGGGTCATCACAAGAATGTCCCTGACTTTACAACTTTTATTGCAGCAGTCATTAAGTCAATCATTTCCCTTTTTATAACCCTGTAATCTCTATTCAGGGTATCACTGTGGTTGTTAAAAAAAACAATGTGGACACTAAGCAAATTTATTATCTGCAATGGGTTTTGGTTTTTTTAGAGAAACCAGAAATAAATGCCTGTTTCCTGCAAAAAAAAGTTGTAAATTAAAGTCATGTGATTGTGGGACACATAGCCAAGCCCTAAAAGTGATCACATGATCATGGGGTATGGTGTGGTGGTGACAGTCAGAATTACAAATCCAGGTTGTTAATAGTCCTGGGAAGGTTTGTCAAAACTTTGAATGGTCACTAAGAGATCGGGCATACGTTTTGACTACTTATATTCTCCACCTATGTTTTGTAAGGTCAAAGATATAAAGAAGATAGCTTTTCTTGACTGTTGGTGTGCTATTCAATAAAAACAAATACAATTGCCTTAAAAATCATCAACTAATTTTTTTCTGCGCTTCCCTTTTTGTGGTTAATCCTGAGAACTTAAGTGACAGGTGTTTGAAAGTTGAATCATGGCAATTGGACTTATTTTCTTGTTGGTTTGAGACTTTTCACTGTTCCTCAAGCAGCTTCATTAGATGTTATCCAGGTCATGGCTGTCCCAAAAGGCAACTAGACTTGGTTTTTCCTTGAAGACATTTCACTTCTCATCCAAGAAGCTTCTTCAATTTTGACCTTTTGGGCAGCTTCATCTGACAGACCAAGTTAGGCAAAGAGTCATCGGAATGTACCAACTCATCCCACACCAATCTCAGGGGTTTCTTCCCCAAAGTATGTGGCAATATGTCGATGAAACATCTCAAGCCAACAAGACAATATGTCCAGTTGCCATGACTCATCTTTCAGGCAATTTTACCTGGATGACTGAAAAATCTTCATGACTTAAATGACAGGTGTTAACACTTAAGAGGATGACCAGTCAGAGAATGAAAGTACCAAATAAAAGAACCTGAAGGCTCTCTGTGTACCTAAACCACATTTTCTGCATTTCTGATGGAAAAAATTTTGGGAATTGTAATTTAATAAAATCTGGAGGTGCATTTCTATCTCTGATGCGATTCTGAGGCTACATGACCTCAGATTAGGGCTTTAAACTAGTATAAAGAACTACCAGTTTTCTTCTTTCTTCTTCGAGGGTCCTTCCAGAAGTTAGACAAACATAACCCATATGTTTTCAGTTTAGAAGAGCTCATAGAAAATGAAAATATTTCCCTCCATACCATTTATTAAAATTGAGTCCTACCAATGTGTAAGAAGCCCCTCCCTTCCTAGATAATGAAATATTCTGGAGAATATTAAAAGAGAAAGTAAAGGCAGAAAGCAACATGATTTTTAGACATAATAGGATTCACCCACCATCATTAGGATTAACCCACCATAAATAGTAAAGACACAAGGCTCACTACATTGCACAACCCCCTGGAGCATCTCAACTACCACACCCCAGAACCCTATAAAAATCCACTCACTCATTCAGCCATTTTGTCAACCATCCCAGAAACATGCTGACATTGAAGTTTCTGGAAACCAAATAAACAAAGACCTTCTTTCCAACCAGCCAGCCTCCATATTATTTCTAGTGCCTTTCTCCCAGCTTGGAACCGGACTGGGCTTTTCTTCCTTCACGTGGAAAAATGCTTCTGCAGATGCCTTGTGGAAAAGGAAAGCTCCTTTTTAACAGGAGTCAATTCTCTGTAATGGCCTCCATGGGTGTCCACCTCAGCCTCGGCCATTTTTAAAGAATTTTCCATATGCTATCTAATGCAATTCCATGCTAAGACCAACTTTATATCAAAATATCCCATTGAAGAATGTTCTTTGTGGCCATCTAGTTGTTCAACCCCATAAACCTTATGTGAAGAAGATGAGGACACCCTAGAGCACAAATGAAGAAGATAGCATTGATGCTTTCCAGCAAACCTTCCCATTTGCATCCCATTTAGGTCATAGTACAGAGGTGCCTGGCTGGAAAGAACTTGACCCATGTCAAAGCTGGCTGCATCCTTTGTGGGTACCTCAAACTACTACCGATGTTCCTCATGGTAATGCCTGGCATGATGAGCCGGATCCTGTATCCAGGTAAACCTCTGAGGTGATGGTTGGAATGTAGGTATCAGAAGAAAAATGAGAAACAGTTGATCTAAGTGAGCCAAAGAACAGTCTCAGATGCTACGGCGGCTAGTCCTCAACTTACAACCACAATTGAGCCCGAAATTTCTGTTGCTAAGTGAGACAGGGGTGGTGAGTTTTGCCCCATTTTATGACCTTTCTTGCCACAGTAGTTAAGTGAATCACTGCAGTTGTTAAACTGGTAATACGGTTGTTAAGTGAACCTGGCTTCCGCATTGACTTTGTCAGAAGGTCGCAAAAGGAAATCACATGACCTCAGGACACTGCAATTGGTTATAAATATGAACCAGTTGCCAAGCATCCGAATTTTAATCACATGATCATGGGGATGTTGTGACAGTCATGTGAAAAATGTTGATAAGTTACTTCTTTCAATACTAAACAGTCACTAAATGAATGGTTGTTTGGCAGGGTTGAGGTAGCTGAGAATACAGCCTCTAGTTTCAAATTGATCTAGATGTTGCATAACATAATATCAACTGTATTAATTTTGTATGGATTGTAAACATTAATTCATTGTAATTGTAAATATGTATTAATTTTATTTCAAACAAGGAAATGTGTTTAATTATTGATCTAGTTACATTAGAGTCAGTATTAACTTTTGTGATGTTCTCAATCTTGGTTTACCCATTGCTTATAAGCAGGTAACAGATAACAGATTATCAGAGTTGGAAGGGACCTTGTAGGTCATCTCGTCCAACCCCCCACCCAAGCAGGAGACCCTACACCATTTCTGACAAATGGCAGTCCAATCTCTTCTTGAAAGTCTCAAGTGATGGCGCACTTCTTGTTCCCCTCCCAGCCTGCCACAGAAGCTTGTAGTGCGAAAATAATTATTAACAATAAAAAGTATTGTGCAGAGAAGTGTTACGAAGAGAGTTACGGCACACTTATCTAAAACATATAAACAATGGTTGCTGGATTTGGGTAGGTCTAGTTTAATGAAAAGAAGGATTAGTGGTGACATAATTGCAGTGTTCCAATAACTAAGGGATTGCCACAAAGAAGAGGGAGTCAATCTATTTTCCAAAGCAGAACAAGAAGCAACGAAACCAGTCAAGGAAAGAAGCAACCTAAAACTAAGGAGAAATTTCCTGACAGAACAATTAATCAGTGGAACAACTTGCCTCCAGAAATTGTGAATGCTGTTTAAGAGAGTGGACAACCATTTATCTGAAATGTTATAGGGTTTCTGGCCTGAGCAGGGGATTGGACTAGAAGACCTCCAAGTCTTCCAGTTTTGTTATTCTAAGTTTCTAAGAGTCTGCCTGATTTTTGGGCTGCTATGGAGATGGCCTCTAAATGGAATGGGGATTTGATACTTTCAGAGAGAATTCCATATAATTTTCTAGTATGTTAATTTGTATGGGCCCCTATACAAAGCCCCACTCTGCTGCCCATTATGACTTAAAAACTTTCGTAGAACTTGCTTGAGTGAGGTAAAGAAAGTGTAGACCAGGAGACCAGCTTTAGTTGTTCTTATATCAGATTCCCTACTAATAGAAAGGATTGTATTGGTTAATTTGGACACACATTGACAATTATAATATGTAAGGCTACTCTACTCTACTCTACTCTACTCTACTCTTCTATTTTTTCACCAGCCAGAGTGATTAGGTATATGTGCAAGATTCTTAGAAGACCCTATCAAAGAACTCAACTCAACATAAGGCTCAAACCTAAGTTTAACACTACCCAATTTTACAATTTAGCATTATTCTCTATTTATTTGCTATTTTCAAGCTATGAAGGCTTTCTTCAGAAATCACTTAGATTGGTCAGCTGGCTCTCTTGGGCTCAGTCAACACCCTCAAATTATCCTCTGCTCCGGATGAATGAGGTTCCACTTCTGTGACCCCAAAGTATAAATCACAAGGGCTTTGTGAGGTCCTGGAATCAGTGCCACTGGAGCCAGGACCTCCCTGTGAGTTTGTTCAGCAAGGAAAGCAATTTATTTATTTTCCAGGCATGTAAAGAGTTCTGGCAGTGCAGCAACTAAACAGGCTGGATTTCTTTTCTTGTGGTCCTCTAACTTTGTGATAAGTGGTAGGTAGTGAAGTGGCAATTGCCAAAGAGTTGATGTTTGTGCAGTTAAACAGCCCATGATGTAATGATTATGACACCAGGCTAGAAAACAAGAGATTGTGAGTGCTAGTTTTGCCTTAGCCATGAAAGCCAGCTGAAACCCCCAATTCTCTCAGCTCAACTCCCCTCATAGGATTGTTGTTCTTGTGGGGAAAATAAAAGGAGAAGGTCTATTAGTTATGTTCAGTATCTAGAGTTATTTGTAAAAATAATAAATAAAGCCCTATTTTACAATCTTTTTTGCAATAATCTTTAAGCAAATACAGCAGTTATAAAGCAATTGCCAGGGTTATTAAGTCTACCTATTGTTTGCTATGGGGCAGTTTTTGCCAGAACCCGGAAGTAAAGGCCAGTTTCTAGCAAAAACATCATAAATCACAGACATAAGACTGTGGGTGCTGGAAATAGCCATAAATGCAGATTGCTGGGTGCCAAAAATGCAGCCATGTGATCATGGGGCATTGGGAATGGATGTTAGAACTTCAAATCCAGGTTGAAAGTCCTATTTTCAAAGTCTGTCATAACTTCCAACAGTTGCTAAGCTACTGGTCATAAGTTGATGACTATCTGAATCTTATGTTGTATAGATAGACCTCGACTTATGACCACAATTTAGTCCAACATTTCTGTTGCTAAGTGAGACATTTGTTAACTGACTTTTGCCTCATTTTATGACTTTTCTCATCACATTCATTAAGTGAATCACTGCAGTTGTTAAATTAGTTACACAGTTGTTAAGTGAATCCGGCTTCCCCAGTGACTTTGCTTGTCAGAAGGTTGCAAAAGGGGATCACATGACCCCAGCATGTTACAACCATCATAAACATGAGTCGGTTGTTGAGCATCCAAATATAAATCACATGAACATGGGGATGATGGATTGGTCATAAGTGTGAAATATGATCCTAAGTCACTTTTTTCAGTGCTGTTGAAACTTTGAACAGTCACTAAGTGAACTGTTGTAAGTCAAGGACTACCTATATAGCACTGATGGATGTCCAGACAGCCTTTTTCTATCTGCCTAGAACTTCAACTGCTCTTTTCCAGCCTGGCCACAGCCCCTACCCTCCTTTCCCACGGGAAGGATACTGTCCGCGAGAAAATGAGTTCCATCCACATCTCTCAGCTTCTCGTCAGGAGGAAGAACGGCTTATGTCTTTGGTTGATTACAGGATAGGAGAGCAAACAGCCCTGGGCTGGGACATGGTGAAACATTAGGGTTGGTTAACTGTCCACAAGTGAAATGTTGAAAACCCTTCGTTTGAAATTAAAATTTAAGCGCCAGAGCATTTAAATGAAATTAAATCCTTCAGAGGAAAAATACAGGCTGTCAATTTATAGCAGGGGTGTCAAACTGGATTTCTTCTAGCACCAGATCAGCATTGTAGTTCTCCTCCGTGGGCCATCTGGCTGGGAGCGGGGGATTAGACAGGGCGGATGCCTTCTGCAGCATGTTGCCGATCAAACGGGGTACAGGAGGTCTGCGCAGGGCACAGCTGTGCCCTGTTTTGGCTGGCTGAGTGTTGCAGGAGGCTATCCAGGCCGACCACAGGCCGGTCCTTTTGCTATTTCCAGATTTAAGCATCCCAAGGACCAGATCCAGCCTGCAGGCCTTGAGTTTGACACCCCTGATTTATAGGGTCTCTGACTTGAGCAGGGGGCCTGAATTAGAAGACCCCCAAGGTCCCTTCCAGCTCTATTCAGATAATTTTAACTTCTTTCCCTATTATTCTGCTGAGAGGGAGAGAAAAATCTGCCAGTCTAATTAGCTCTACCTCTTAACATTTATATTGCTGGAGGGAGGGAGGGAGGGAGAGAAGAGAGAATGAGAGGGGGGGTTGGGAGGGAGGGAGGGAGTGGGAGAGAGAGAGAGAGGGGGAGGGAGGGAGGGAGGGAAGAAGAGAGAAGTATGAGAAAAATTATCATAAATCCCTTGATTGATGACAGGTAGAAGATACCAATTTTAATAGAAAGGCAGACAGATCCTTCTCAAAATGGAAACTTCTTTAATGTACAACATTTATATCAAATGAGTCTAAATGCCACCATTTTTCTACAAGAAAACATTACTTCTCTGAGGAACTGAGGAGTTGGTTTGTAGTCTCCTACAGAGAAAATCCCTAGACCCTTCCTCCATCTCCTCCCCAGTTAATTTAAGAAGATAGTGCCTCAAGATGGTGGCTCACAAATTTAGAAGTGAAGTATTTAGGTGGTGAAAACACTTCTTTGCACCCAGCAGAAACAGCATATGGTGTATACAACATTTGTTATATACATCTGTGTGCACATGCACATATATATATGTTAACGCAGCATTGTTACCTGCATCACAGGAGAATTGCTCATCCCCTTCTTCTTCTTCTTCTTCTTCTTCTTCTTCTTCTTCTTCTTCTTCACTTTACAGATGAAGTAGCTTGCATCATTCCAGATGAATGCAAGAAAATATGTGGCACAGAAGTTGGGTGTTCTAACATTGCCTATCCAAAATTGGTTGTGTCTCTCATGCCAAATGGTGAGAATAAGGTTGTTTCCTTCCTGACCCCAATACACTCGCTTTAGCCGAAGTTAGTGGTGGTGGCAGCCGCTTGTAACAGCTCCTTGACTTGAAGAGCACCTGCAAAATCAAACAACTTGTGCACCTGGTTGGGACCATCAACAGTAATGGTGGAGTTTGACCAGTCCTATCACAGAGAGCAGGATTTGGGTCTACCATTGAATTAGAGTCCCAGCTCTGCTGTGAATTTAACCAGCTGCAGAGCCCGAGGGATGCTGAACGCTGGAATTCATTCCTTGTTCCTTCCCATTATGTTTTATTACCACAGGCCTTCGGGGGCTGATGTTAGCAGTGATGCTGGCAGCCCTCATGAGCTCCCTAGCCTCCATCTTCAACAGCAGCGGTACCCTCTTCACCATGGACATCTACAAACGCTTGAGACCCCAAGCCAAGGAGAGGGAGCTGTTGATTGTGGGCCGGTGAGAAAGAGATCTGGAACACCCTATGTTCATGTACACTCTTCCCTTTTCTATTGCAGTAGCAAACCATGACATCTTGTTAGTCTTCCTCCATTTGGTGCCCTATAGATGCGTGTTATGATTACTGTAATTCTTGCCATGCTCAGCCAGATGGGGGAAGACTGGTGATACCAACCAATTTAAAGTTTTAGCTCAAAGGATGGCAACATTTTCAAAGAGTGAGGGGAGTTGTGCACTGATGCAGACACCAAAAAACCATTCATTCATTCATTTTCATTCATTCATTCACTCATTTTCATTAATTGCAAGAAGTTAATATTCTCACTTGGAATCTACAAGAACTAATGCATGGCCCCTGAAATCTTGCAAGGTCTGGCAAATTCGTGAGATTTTAACCATTATTTTTTTTAATTTGGGAAGTTGGAAGGCATCAACAAGGATTGTTAATGATACACACTTCGCACCTCACCACTATAAACATTACAAGGTTCCCAAATTTGTCCACTTCTCTGATATTTTTGCCATCTTGAGGGCCACGTCAACTGCATTAGAAGCATGAATCTTGGAATTTACTTGCACCATGAGATAAGTAAATTTTACATGGGTGTGAGTACACCCATGGAAATCCTTTCCCACCCTCAATTAAACCCCACTTTGCAAGCTTGTCCCTGCATCACGGGCAAGGGATACATTTTCACTCTGCTGTTTTTTTTTTTCTACAGGGTGTGGATCTTTCTGCTTGTGGGGATCAGCATTGCATGGATCCCTGTGGTACAGGTTGCCCAAGGTGGACAGCTCTTTGACTATATCCAGTCCATCAGCAGTTATCTGGCCCCACCCATTGCTGCCATTTTTCTCCTTGGAGTTTTTGTCAAAAGGCTTAATGAGCAGGTGAGCAGGTTAAAAAAAAAGAGACACAACCAACCACGTACTCCACATAAGAGGTGAGATCCATTGGAGGGGAACCACAAATACTCAAAATAGAGAAAATAAGAGTACCTGAATTTTAAGCCCAGTTAGAATGGTGGCATCTGGACCACCTTAAGTGCCTTAAGCCAATTTGGACTTCTTATATAGTTAAATAGCAATAGCACTTAGACTTATGTACTGCTTCACAGTACTTTTACAGCCCCCTCTAAGCGGTTTAGAGAGTCATAAGTGACCATTCAGAGATTCCAGATACTGGGAAGTTGGAAAAAAACTGTATCCCTAAGAAGGCAGAAGACTGCCAAGTGCCAAAGTCATCAGGACTTAGGTTGAAGTCAACTGTTTCGTGATACACAGCCTTGAAGATGGGAAAACATTGGTCTGCTAGCATGGAGAAATAGAGGTTAAAGACGTCTGTGTCGCACATACTTCCAACTGAGGGGTCTTTCGTACTCTCTGAGCTTGCTTGTTTTCTTGCAGACATTTCAATACCCTAACTAGGTAACATCATCAGTGTTAGCACTGATGACGTTACCTAGTTAGGGTAATGAAACCTCTGCAAGAAGACAAGCAAGATCAGAGAGCACCAAGGGCCCCTCATTTCATCCCTGAGCTATATTCTCCTTTATTGACACTTCCAACTTTTTAACAATCATGCTTTCCCCAGATTTGCAATGGTCTCCCAGTTTTAGGAATAAGGGCCCCAAATAGGAGCAATGTGTCCCTAATAAACTTGTGAAAGCTCCTTTTTGCTTGTCCTCATCCTCCTTGTTCCTTTTCAGGGTGCATTCTGGGGCATGATGGGAGGACTAGCCATCGGCATGGCTCGAATGATCCCAGAATTCATCTATGGAACAGGTAGCTGTCTCTTCCCAAGCAACTGCCCTCGCCTGATCTGTGGGGTCCACTACCTTTACTTTGCCATTATCCTATTCTTGGCCACAGCTGCCATTGCAGTGGGGGTCTCGCTCTGCACTTCACCAATTCCTGATAAACATGTAAGTACAGGGGGAGTTTATGGGGTGAGGTGGGGGGAAGAAATAATACCAGAGCATTGGAATACAGGTAGTCCTCAACATACGACCACAGTCGGCACCAAAATTTCCACTTCTAGGCAAGGCAGTTGTTCAATGATTCATGCCCAATTTTACAACCTTTTTTTTGCCGTGGTTGCTAAGCAAATCACTGCCGTAGTTAAGCGAATTTCTTTCCCCATTGACTTTGCTTGTTGGAAGGCAGCTGCAAACGGCAATCATGAGATACTGCAACTGTGGGGAGTTGCACAAAGTGTGAGAACTGGTTATAAGTCAATTTCTTCAGTGCCGTTGTAACTTTGAATAGTCACTAAACAAACAGCTGTAAATCAAGAACTACCTGGACATTTTCTGAGACAAGGACCTAAAGAGGGTGTTTTAAGAGTTGTGCTTCCTTCCCTGTGTCCCTTTAAAATACTTCCATTTCAGACCTCCAAATCACAGTGGCCTAGAAAGGTTCCCTCTCTTTCACATACTAAGATAAAAGAGGACTTAGAAATCTGCAAGAGTTAAGCTTCACCTGTTTTGCATTATAAACCATAGCTTGGAACAATACATTAATACAGAATGTTTGTTGATAGGGTTGTAAGTATGTGTTCTTTCTTTCCATCCATCCATCCATCCATCCATCCTTCTTTCTCTCAAACACACACACTTGAATTTAGTACATTTTTAAACAAGCCTGAATTGGCTTTTAATTTCCGGTGGGGAGTCTCCTTCCCCTCCCCCCCAATATTCCTCTAATCCTCAACAGTCCATCTGCCATCTCTTCCCAGCCACCCACTTCTCATGTTCTAATTGGGCCTGGTTTTCTAATTCTTTCAAGGCCCTAAGCTGGTCCATAAACCTTTTGCATGGCAATTGAATTATTTAGAAGTTGTCTTCCTAGGCCCCGGCAGGGATTCCAAAGAAAACCGGGGGTGGTGACATCAGGGAGATTCCAGGGAATAGACCTGGAATCACTCGCCTCCCTCAATCAGAAGCTGATTACCTGGCAAATGAATGCACTCATTTCTCCTTTATAAAGCCAAGCTAACCTTTTCCAGTTTGTTGTTGTTGGGCAACGTCTCCCAGAATCCCCTTCCTCACCCAGTCATTCTGTTTCACCGTTCATGCATCTTAAAACGTACATTCTGCCAACCTAGCTACATCGCCTGGTATTCAGCCTCAGGCACAGTAAAGAGACACGGATCAATCTGGATACAGAAGAGGAGGAGGAGGAAGCAAAACGGCGGCAGCAGCGGCAAGCAGAGAATGCAGCCACCGGGAATGGAAGACCAGAGCTGGTCCTAGAAGTGGATGGTGAGGGGATGTTGTGCCATCTATTTATTTGATTTATAGCTTTCCTTCATTCAGGAGCTCAAAGGAGAGCCAGTTTGGTGTAGTGGTTAAAGTGCTGGCCCAGAAACCAGGAGACGATGTATTCTAGTTCTGCCTTAGGCAAGAAAGCCAGCTGGGTGACTCTGGCCAATCACCAGGAGACTGGGAGTTCTAGTTCAGCCTTAGACATGAAAGTTGGCTGTGTAACTTTGGATCAATCACTCTTTCTCAGTCCAACCCACCTCATAGGGTTGTTGTTGGGCGAGGGGAAGAAAGGAGGGAGGAGTATTGAGTTACTTATAAAATATTTTTATTGCTTTTTAAAGTATCCTTATTACTTATAAAGTAATAAAGGCAGGATAAAAATTAAATAAATAAAACAGATTCCTTTTTCCTTTGAGGTAGGCTGAGTAAGAGAGAGTAACTGGTCCAAAATCATCTAGTCAGGATGGACCTGAATCTGGGTCTCCTCAGGGCCAGTCCAACCTCTTAAACACTACACCCCCATTAGTTCTTACTTATATGGTAACACACGTCTGGACAATTCTGTTGTGTCCCCAAATCATCAAATTTTCTCAGTGTATGTCTGACTTTCCTTTTGAGTTAGCCCTTGTCATAATTTCACAATCACTGTAATGTTTTGAGAGAATCCTAACCACAGATGCCTCTTCCCTCTCCATGCAGATCCCAAAACAATGACCTCCTGTGGCCGACTATGCCAAGGCCTAGCCTGGTTTTGTGGGATGAATTCTGGCAGCCCAAAGGAACCAGAACTGAACCCAGAAGAGAAGGACAAGGATCTCCAGCATCTGGCAGGCATCACAGAGCACACGCTCTGGAAGCAAGTAGTCAACATTAATGCTGTGATCATGATGGCCCTGGCCATCTTCATGTGGGCCTTCTATGCCTGAGGATCCTCAACAGCTCAATAGAATATGTTGCTCACCAACCTTATTACAGCTACATCCCATCAACCCATCAATCCCAGAGAACAACAGGAGCAAAAAGATGGCACCAGGAGGGACTGTCTAACAGTCATCTGGACCAGAGGTCTCCAACCTTGGCAAGTTTAAGCCTGGTGGACTTCAACTCCCAGAATTCCCCAGCCAG